AATGACGATTTTACAGGATTTCCTTAGGATAATTTAAGACATGACTTGGTTTAAAAAAAAAATAAAAACGTTATCATTTGAGTTAACTATTGGGATCTATTCACCCATGCTTACTAAATCCTGATGCCTTATCAGTTCGATCAATGGTCTCACTGATCAGAAACCTAAGAGTTTTGTCAGTTAATCTGTTTTATTATCTGTGTCTTTTGGTATCCTTTCAGCTTACATTAAACCATTAACACATAATTTTATTTAGTCAAGTACCTGATTTATTTTAACATTACTATGGGGGACTACAGCAATGCTAACTATAATTTTCAATGTTTTCCCTGTGTCTTTGATACTGCTATAGCTCTGCATTTAACAGAAAGGCCTTTAATAGTCTATTGCATGTGCTTAGAGGATTGATAAGGAAGCCAAGGTGTTGTTTGTGAAGTCAGTCCATAAAAGTAGCTGCACATGTGTCTTCATTTACGATGGTGTTCCCAAATTTGATATTTTTCCTGACAATTACTTGCATGAGCATTACTGCTTTTAGAATAGAGCATGGCTAGACCATTACACAGAGATCTGTGTTGGGATTAGTATTTAACCTACTGGGATGTTTCTTAGCAAAGCAACCATTTATCACACCATCAGAGGTGTACATTTGGCATTAAAAGGATAATATGCACATCTTCAAAATCTTCCTCAGCCACAGAAAAATAAACTAAATCAAGGCAGGTTTCTACATTATACCTGCTACAAGGTGCTCTTTGATCCAATCTTATTAGTTCTGTATGAATATTGATAGGGTGTGTAGCTTAAACCTAATAAACAATATCTGCTACTTTTTTTAATGCCAGACAGAATTCATGAATTAGCCAGGAGTTGATCCAAAGTTACTCACTTTCAAGTTAATGCTTTAAAACACAACAATATAAAACACAACGCAATATAAATCTGTTATCTGTAATAACCATCGATACAATGTTAGCTTCCTCTGACATTTTTTAAGCAACTAATTGTTCATTTCAGAAGAAAAAATGAGACAAAACTTTTATTTTCAATCAGATTGATGACAATTTCTGCAAAGTGTATTTTTTGCTCCTTATGTTGACACAGGAGTTTCAGGGTTAATGCTTTTTCTTGTGAATCCATTTCATACAACTATTTTACATCAAGCTTCAAGTACAGGAAGATGTTTCAACTGGATTTCTATTCATACTAAGTCATAAAGTCTAACTTCTTATATTTTAACTGCTTTTGTAGAACAAAGCCAACAAAATGTAATTCAGTTAGCAAAGGCTTCCAAAAACTGACCATTCAAATTTAGCAATTATTTTTCAATTTTATCTGGATTTACTGCCTTACTTCTGCTGGGTTACACCTAGACTCATATCTTATCTGCAAAAACACATTGATTTTCATGTTAGTGTTAACTTTAATTCTCTCTGAAATCCCACTCATGGATTAACTGGTCTTTACCATGCTAGACATCCTTATTTTGCAGCGGCAATAGTATCAGTTTTTATGTGAAATATGTTTTTACCTGCAAGGATAAGCAGGTATAGACAACTGAGGAGTTGATGAAGCATATTTTCCCTGTAGTTCCCTCAGACCTTTTTCAATTTGGTTTATCTATATGATTTCAATTCGCAACAGGTCATCTAAAGTGACTTTACAGAGACAACACAATTAAATCATGCAAAGGGTTTCCAAGGAAAAGCAGCTGATTGGATCGAGTCATTGACTTGCAACAGTATCTGCTTGCATTTTGTCCTTGACTGTACAGCAGTCCCTCAACACCTAGCAAGCATACTACGACAGGTAAGAGGAAATCTCCCTCATAACGAGAAGAACACTCAAGCAGAAGCGGGCTGTGTGTGAGCCGCCTTCTGGCGAGAAAAACAGAGGGTTCAAGGAGCTAGAAGTATACATACAAAGCGAACATAGAAAAGGTGAACTATGTCTTACACAGGGCATCTATGTCACTGATGCCCTGTCTAAGAAGGGTCAGAGTCGCCTCCACCTCCAGAGGAGGCCCCTGCTTAAAACCTTCTATGACTCTACGCTGTTGTCTGTTGGGCCCCTGGCAGCACAGAGCGGGAGAGAGAGATGTGGAAGCACTCTATATACTGTATCCTATGCACCTTTTTCTTCCTTGGGCACATTCTTCTTCTTTGGCTATTTGAGCTGATGTAACGTGTAAATTTCTCCACTGAGAGATCAATAAAGTCAATCAATAAATGTCTAGGAAAATAACCAATTAGATTCTAATTAGTTCTGAACCAGTTTTTATTTCAAAGGGATGAAAAAGAGCACACGCAGTTAAGGGTCAAACCAACAAATACTGCAGAATGGGAGAACAGACAGAATGAAGAAAAAAGATGAAAAGCCTACAGCAACATAACTATAGAAATAACTTCAACAACTCAGCTTTATCAAAAAGGGCCTAGTGTTAATAGTAGATCGGGTTTCTGCCCCCATCAACACAGCAAAAATGTAAGGATTTTTTATGTCAAAAAAATTAGGGAGACAAAAATATTTTTTATACAAGCTTTATTTACAATGTGGTTTTTACTTTTCATCCTGTTGGAAGCACGTTTTCAAAAGCAGGGTCTTCGGACAAAATGTGAGATGACATCCATCCAAGTGGAAGTGTTTTTTATTATGCTGTCAATCGCAAATATTTAAACCCCATGACACTATCACAGATGTTATGTACAAATTGTCTTTCTATACAAGCAATGTACAACATTGGCAAGAGGTCAGTATTTGCTTTAGCATTTATGGAAAATAAGACAAGGCCCCTTGTTGCTCATGTCAAGTTTAAAACTCTAGGACACTATACATTTATTCTACCAGTGTCTAAAAAATACAGACATGACCTTTTTAATTTGATTCCTGCGTATTGCATTAAATATTTGTCAAACACTGAAGTGATATTACAGTGGAAGTTTCAGAAGCGCACCATTTTTTTTATTTCCTTCTTTATTGTCAAAAATAGTTGAAAGGGCAACAAGTCGGTCCTGCCTGTAATCAGGTACAGGAAATATGCTCAGATAGAAATACAGTGAGGGGCTCAATGGGATGAAAGGAGGAATAATTATTTATAATACAGGTTTACCTTAACTCCAGTTGGAAATTTGTTAGGTCAACCACAATGTGGATGGGTTTATTATATACAAACCAACCTCTGAGGATGGACGGAGAGCAGAGGTCTGTGTACTTTAGGTACAAATTATTCAAACAGGAATATGGTTAATGTCCCATTATACACAAAAATAAGATTCGTATAGAAAAAAAGAAAACCTGAAGACTCAAAGAAAGAAACATCTGCATCCTTAAATGTCATTTCAACACTTGGTTTTGAAAGATACTTTTATTTGATGACCATTTTGCCCGGCTACCAGCATATCAGAATAATCCCACATGTATCTTTAATAAACTTAAAGGCCAATCATAAGCTTGCTGCAAAACATGCTGATGAGAAAAGTAAAATGTCTGTCTTTTTTTTTTTTGTTAAAGAGAAATCCATTATATAATATAACTGCAAACTTATTTGCACAGTGTTTTAAAAAAGGAAAACTTTTTCCTCTAAACACTGTTTGCACAAAAACTTTCACTCTAGACTTTGAGTCAAATGCTTTAAAACTGAAACTCTTCTCCTTCTGTTGCATAAGTTACTTAACAGTATTTTGATCTTACTTACATCCATTGTAACAGTATAAATGGCTATATTATAATACTAACAAATGTTAACACTGCTGTACAAGCAAAAAAGAATAAATAGGCCTTTAGGATAAAATGGTATGGATTACACTAAGAATACACAACAGAAGAAATATGAATAAAACAGGAAAAAGTGAGAAAAGCTCTCATAAGCCAACCTTAGAGTTAAGTTAATGTCTAAATAAAGTTTTTCCCAAACTGAGGTTTTGTTCCTTAAATATTCAATAAATCTCATAAACCATTTAATTTAAATTTAAACGAAAGGCACTCAATTGGAGGATTTAACCATCTCTCTCTTTTAGGATTTAATACTACATATTTTCAGATCCTGGAAATACTTTTCAGCAACATATTTAAAATTAACTCTATAAAATAAAAACTAAAGAAACCAAACAGAAAAAAAATAAAAATCACAGAACTGGCAACAGCACCAAATATCTCTTTAAAAGGAATTTGCCTACAGCGTATCAAATAACACGCCATATTTTGATACTGAAATGCATATAGTTTGTAATTATACCTAAAAAACACCATGAAAGAAAGACCCCTCAGCTTTCGATGGTTTTGAGTTTCCATAAAGGAAGTCGTTAAAAATGAAACTTTTTCTCCCTTTTTAAACCATTTCACTGATTAGAAAGGCAAATGATGATTACTTTCATCTGTAAAGGGGTACATTGAAAAGATAATTAAATAAGCTTACATTTTCCTAACATAGAAGGCTTAATGAGAGCTTTTAACTCAAATAAAAGCAAATCTGTAATAAGACTATTGATATAATACACAGTCTACGATCTGCAGCTCATAAAAACAAGGCAACAGAGTAAAGCCCCATAAACTTTTGTTTTATCCAACACTTGGTGCAGTCAATACTTTAAGAATCAGTCCAACAAAGCAGAAGTTGGACATCTTATGTAACACTTTAAAGGGGAGACAAATTATTCCTAAAAAATGACATTATTCCTCCGTTATGTAAACTCAAACAAATCAGGAGGAATTTGTCGCTGAGGTATCTTGACACAGCCAGCCAATTCTTCCTAAATAATACAAGGAGGGCTTGGTAAACGGTTTGATCCAAAGGAAATAATGCTGCAGTCTGATTGCTTTAGGGATGTTTGTAACAAACTGCATCGTAACAGACTTGTTGCACGTAAAAGAACGAGTGGGCGTGTCCATCGGGTGTGACATTGGGGTTAGGGGAGGGAATGGAGGAATGGTGGAGACATTGACGTTAGAACATCAGCAACAAAGGTAACAAAAAACAAGGAGTTATTTGAAAAAAAGCTGGATTTTTTTTTTTCTGATCCCAAATCGTTCGTCAGATTTCCCTGCAGGTTATGACGCGTAACAATGAAGGGGAGTTGTTAGTGCTCATGCTGCTGCAGCTGATAGAGGGACCGCATATTTTGCAGGCTTTAAATAAGGTAAGAGCTCATGCAAACAGTATGCAGGCAGGTTCATGCATCAGGTGCTGCTCGGCCTAGCCAGGCCCACAGTCAGAGCAGGCCAAAGAGGGACTAGGCCAGGCCACACAAGGCTAGGAGCAGCTCACTGGTGTACCAGTCATGCAGTGATATTGCTGTGGGAGGAGGAGAAAGAGACGTTATAGACAGATGGCAGAGCTGGTTAGCACAAAGAGCAATGTGTCAGACAGAAGAAAATTAAAAGATCTTTTTATGATGTACGTGGGTTAAAGAGTGAAAAAAGGTTTCATAGGCAGACTGATGAAAATAAATAGCTGTGTCTAACTAATGTTGACGGGACGTCTACATTTCTGACATGGAAAAATAGGTCAGCCTCTGTGATATTCTGAATACTACAGGTTTCATCTACAGTCGCACGGTTCAAACTCAAATGGCTGAAGGTTAATGTTTTCTCATTTCAAAGGGAAGGCCTGCAAAATGATCAATTACACCAACACAGACACAAAAACTATGGCACACAAACACTGTCCTACACAACCCAGAACATGCTGGTAAAGCTCAAGAATCAAACCGGAATCATAACACACATTAACATTTACCAATCTACAGTGCAGGTCAGAGGTTTAAACTCATCATTGGAATGATGAGAGACTGGGAATTGCAGACATCATCACAGGCTGCAATATTGCAAATGCAAAAGACTGCTGAGCTGCAATATTAAGTAGGGTATTATTTCCCGAGTGTCAGACATATCAGCTATATATCTGGAGAGTTGGATGGAGTCTCACTGCCATGACAAACGGGTTGTATATTTATAGCAGCTGAAATGCTTAAAGCAACCAGAGTGCTGCTGGCGTTTTATAAAGGGGAAGAAAAATAGTGTCATATGCAGTTTAATTGGAACATTGTAATTTTAGGTCAAAAGTATCGTAATTAAATCAAGTACAGTGCATTCTCAAAGATGTCTCCTCTCCTACACTGTTAATAATTGAAATTTTTGGTTTGTTTTTTAAAAAATGACAAAAAAAATCTATGGTGGAAGCAGTGTCATGCTAAGGGGTTGCTTGGTTCCCAGTGGTTCTTGTCCTATAAAAATAAGAGATCCTAAACATTTTCAAATCGAAAACAACTGGGATTTCTAATGGGACAGTGGTCAAAAACACAGAGCGGGGTTATAACATGGACAAGTGCATTGAAGCAAACACTACTTGAATTCAATATCTGAAACTTTATGTATAATTTTGACCCGATAAGAAAAGGATGTAATGCAAAATAACTCAAAACTGTGCTCTCTGTTTTATCATTCCACCTTATTTGATTGTACTAAGTCTAAAATGAAAACATTCATTTAGATGATAATACTTCTCTGACCAGCACTGCATTTAGTTAAGGATTGCACTTTCCGAAGCCACTTCAAAACCAGTTGAAGTTTTCTCTTTCTTGGAAAAAAAAATTCCCAATTATTGCTCAACTTTCCCAACTATAAATCTACTCCGCAACCTCATTCAGACACTTAAATGAAAAAAATTATTACATATTAAACACGTCTTTCTATCAATCAATGCAATCATGTAAGACCAATTAAGAATGTAGATCACCTAAAATTAAAACAACCTTGCTGCAAATTCCTGAAAGCTACGTCTTTAGATTTGTAACATTATGCAGTCATTCTCTTGTCAATAGCGAATGTCACAGGTAGAGAAGTGCATAAATACTGCATGAAAGGTAGAACTGTTCCTTTTATCAAAAATGACAGTAACTTGGCAAAAAGATGCAAGTCTTCCAAACATTTAGGTCAGGATTAGCTGAATGGTAAAGTCCTATTAGTCATTATTTAAAAAAAAAAGTATGCTGGGATTTGAATACGGTAGAAGTCTTGCATCACTGGATGGGAGACCAGGTTAAAATAAGGTTTGGCAGGAAGAAAAAAAAATATGGTGCAAGATTTGGGCGTCCATGCCCTGAATCTTTACCTCATGGATCTGATTGAGAAGAAAAAACAGAAAATCAAAAGGCAGAATCCATTAGTAATAAATGAAAAATGTTGTGCCTCGAAAAAGGGCTTTCCAGTTAGAGATAAGCTCAGAGGATTTCAGAGGCAGCTATTTTTTGTGCCCTGGGGCCATCTACCTTACGGTAGCTGGCTGGACGTGGCCTGGGTAGGATCGGCGTGTGCTGGTGGCTTGTCTCTGTCGAGCTAGGAAAGACTGGCCGGAACCGGTGTTGGCAAGTCGGTCTTCAGCCGCCTTCTTCTGCATAGACATGCCCTGGTCAGAGGGGAGGGAGAAGGTTATTGGAGTGGTTATAAAACATGAAAAGCATATACTGTGCTTTGCAGGAATATTCATTCTCTTTCAAGTTGAACACATTCTGTCATGTTACAAGCACCACTTTCAATGTATTTTGTTGGTGTTTAATATTGCAAGAAGAAAGTTCATGTTAAAAAAGAAAGAAAGACATTGAAAAACACATTTGGAGTTGACCACAATCTATATATGGGACAGAGTTAACATGGTAAGGAAAGACAAAATAACATACATGGAAAATACCATATCAGTGACTGAAAATTAACACTGTAAATCACCAAAAAATGGCAGCAGACCGGCAGCCACATATACGGCGAACAAATGGATGAGCCAGTTAGAAATTTCCGCTAATTGTGGAAGAAAAAAACCTGAGCCTCAGCTGTTTTATTGAGGAAAAAATAGGCAAACGTAGAAATATAAAACAATAATAATAAACTATGTTAAAGGTTATGATATTAAAAATTAGTGTGAGAAGGTTTCAGCTGCACAAATATTTGTGCACAAGACAAAGCCTTTTTAGATCAGGCTTGTCTCACAATCTATTGCAGAAAAGCTCCATCATTTACTCACCTGTTTCTACATTGTCTAAAGAAGAGTTTTGCTGCCCTCTACTGTTATTTTAAATGTACTATTGGTTTTTTTTTTATTACTAAAAGTATTTTTCATGTTAAAAACTGTGCAAAAATTAACACGATATAAAAAAAAGAATACACTTCAATAATGTATACAAATCTAATTAACAAAAAAAACAAAAAAGGGTTTCCAGAAAAGTCTTACCATGTTATACCAGGCTGAAACGATAAGTTTCTCCTCGTTGTCTCGCTGGATTTTTGTCTTGTCCATTTCCTTCTGTTTAAAGTAAGCAAACAAAACAAAGTTGAAAATTAAAATTGTAAAAAAAAAAATGCACCAGACCTCAATTATTTAATGAACAAGTTATTTAATCTGTAACAAACAGCTCATTTACCTCGAGTGTGTGCAACATTCTCTCCTTTTCTTGCAGCTGGTTTTTCAAGGCCTGAACCTCTGGACCGGAACCCTGGTTCTGCTTTGGGTCCAGCGTCCGAATAACCTGCATAGAAAGCATTCAGACCCCATCTCAGGTTGCTCTTAACTTCAAACACCAACTAAGTGTAAATGTAGTGATAAAGATTGTTTTATTGCTGAAATTTCACTTACACTCTTTGCTTTTTCTAGATATTTCTTATATCTCTCCTCCATAAGCTTCATCTCTTCATCTTTTTTCTTTAGCGCCTCTTCAAGCTCATCCACTCTTTGGGCTAAGAAGAAAAACATCTTTAAGTTTTCTACTCATACCCCACATAAAGTAGGACATTTTAGCAAAGTAAATCAACATGTTGAGGGAGCTGCTGGAAAACACAGATTTTCTTAAATGAAAAAGATCCCAATCTGGACTGCAGATCAAAAGTTTGTTTTTTTCTTCCAATGCTGAAGTTTTCCAAAGTTTTATGAAATTCAGCTTTGTGGGTTTTTCTGTATTTCCGCTGACAAGCAGCAGATATCACATTTCCCCTCCACAGCTCTTAACCTGGCATGGAAATAAAAGTGAAAACAAGGCTTCAAACAAGCAGCATTGAGTCCAAACTCACAGCTAGCATTGCACTTTGGTTCCAATTCATCGATGATAGCATTTTTCTTCAATAACTCATTGTTCACTTCTTGAAGCTTCTCCCTAAAACAACAAAAGGATTCATAAAAAGTGAGATGTGAAATAAATTAGGTCAGAGAGTTGCTGTGCAGCAAGTAAAAATGATCTGAGTTATAAATGACTCTATCACTTACACGTGTTCATCATATTTCTTCTTCAAAACCGATGACTGAAATAGAAAAAAACAATATGAATAAATACATGAGCATACATGTAAGCTAACACCCACTATAGTGTAGTCATAAACTATATTCTAAATATGTTAAAAAGTTTTTTATGTTTATTATACAACCCTCCTTTTAAAAGCCTAGATTTAAAAATGTTATTGTATATTATTTTTCATTGTATGTAATTGAGCTTTGAAGTTTTTTTTAAAGATTAACTCATTTGCCATTAAAGGCCGAGTTCGATCCAATTAATTTTAGAAACTCAAAACATAAAAGAGCATTCTGCTTGCTTACATCATCTGCTTTTGAACCCTGTTCCTGAACAGTCTTTTGAAGCTCTTCAACTTGACTCTGCTCCTCCATTAACCGCTGATTGATTAATCTACATAAAGACACGCAGAGAAAATAAAATAAAACACAGAAAGTGATGCATGAATTCAAACAAACTTAAAGACCAAAAGGATTATCTGTTTTTTTCATGTTCATGCCAACCTGTTTTCTGTCTCTAGTTCATTTTTTCTTCTGTTGGCGTCTTCTAGTAGACTCTGCAGCAAGGCGATTTTCTCGTTGTCCGATCCCTCCTGGGCCAGCTTCAGCATTTTGTTTTCATGCTGGAGACGAATCAGATGTTCTCTGTAGAAACCCAGCAAAGGAGACCAATTAGGCCTGACTAACATTTAGCTTCAATTATCTCTAATATAAGCTTATATGGAGATATACATATTGATATGAAAACAACCTAATTCGAAAGTGATAGATTAGGTTATTGTGGTGAATGAAAAACAGTTTGCAAGAGTAATCAAAATCCTTGTTCAGCTAAAAAAAAATCAATAAAGAAGACTATGTAAAAATTGCTAAGTGGGATGACTATGTCTTGGACAAATTAATATAAAATATAATAATCATACAGACAAAAACATTCTCCTGAATGGGAGTTGCTACTGAATGAATTAGAATCAAAGTTGGTTATCGTGATGATAACTGAGCTGTGAAGCAATTTATATACAGAAGGTGGTTAAAAATCCAACAACCTATCAGAGACTGTTTATGTTTTAATTATGCAGCATAAGTGTGAGTCTTAGAGAAAATAAGACAGAAGAATGTAATAAAAGAAAGTTGTTTTGATTAGCTTTTAATCTCTGACTGATTAAACATACTGGATGGTGAGTCAAAGTGACAAACATTTAGCATAAACTGCCTTTTCTCCATACAGCGTGACATCATTGCTGCTCTAAAATATTAACGACGGCTCACAGCCACGCATTTTTAATGCTGTTCACATACAATTTCGTAGCCCTTAAAAACATTCTGACACAAACAAAGACAGGTATAGAGGGGTCAGAGTTTTAAAGCAACACTGCATCACTTTTAGCCATTAGGGGAATTAGACCTACTGAACTGAAGATTCTTCCAAGGCCTGTTGCTATCTGACAGCAGGCAACTTTGGACCAAGAGATTGAGAAATAATACAACAATTTGTAAAGACAAGGTCACACTAACCACTATAGATTAAATCCTACACTAAAAAAAACAAACAAACAAAGCTCTGACCTTGTGTCATAAGTTTTACTACCTAAAAACAACTTTTGGCATAGCTAGCTTTCCTGCTTCAATGGTGCTCAGACTGCTGCAAAGCGTCACTCTAGGTCTAATGTCTAATCCAATGATGATCCGACTCTTAAGTAACATAGGCGTATTTTTGAGAACGGCAGTTTGCACAGTATTAACTGGGGCAAGACATGTAAACTGATCAGGAAAATCATTTAATATATCTCAAATTAAGTTAATCCTTGGTTCAAAACGTATGCATAACTTGCTTTAAAAAAAAGATAAATCTATCGCTGCATCTCTGGCATGAAGCTTTGTAACAATGATAATTTAACCTCATGGTAAGGACTGCAAAAATTTCCACAATTCAAACATTTTAATACCTTCTCAACAAAACAAATGACTCAATCCAGCTACTTCATTAAACATCTCTACTGAAGCCTCTTACTTCCATGATGTGTCATTTTCTAATTGTTAAAGAGTTCCCTGAATTTGGATTAAGCTCTTTTCTTCCAAAAGCTGCTTTTCAAAGCTTATCCATTTAAGGGCTTTCTGCATAATGACCAATTGTTTTAGGTTCATGAGTGCTCTGAAATCAAAGAAAAAGAAACAGAGACTCTGTAAGTAGCGTGCCTCCCTTAGAGAGCTGTTATCAAGCTGATGCAACATGTAAACACTTGTTACAAGAGGCTTTAAAAAGAAATCTCTCATTAACCCCAAATGAACAACTGTTATAGAGAAAAAGTCTTGCTGAGAAGCAGCTCAGAATAGAGGGAAACACTTAAGAGTATTGCAGATAATTCTGTTAAACCATAACATTATAATTACCAAGCTGCCTGATAATAATTAAGTTTTCTTCATACAACCATTCAACTTCTGACAATTCAGAACACAGACAGAGCAGCAGAGGATTTAGGACATGAGTTTTATAAAGACAGAATTCTCAGACAGAACAGCAGCATATGGGGTGAATGACTAATGAAAAGACATTACACAAATGTAAGATTTCACTAAAGGTACTGAAATATTTGTCTGTTCAACCCTTTTAAAGAACTAAAAGTTCTATTGTTAAATATACAGTGAGGAAAATAAATATTTAAATATGTTGCTATTTTGCAAGTTCTCCCCCTTAGAAATGGAGGGGTCTGAAATTGTCAACGGAGGTGCAGGTCCACTGTGAGACATAATCGATAAAAAAAAAGGTACAAAAAAATCCAGAAATCATAACGTATGCTTTTTTTCCTCCTATTTATTTGTATGATACACACAATAGTGGTTGAGGCAAGCATCAATTCAATCCTTGTTTACTTCGCACAGCCACTTATAATTAGGAGGAAGCATTTTTTCATGCAGCCATTTGTTTCCCGAGGCACAGCTGTTAGGATCACACGAATATGTCTGTTTACATTAGTTATGATATAGGAGGATACAGAGAATCAAGCTGGAAAAAAAAAGAACTGGATTGTCTCAAATTATGGACTGCTTCAAACAGCAAACAGGATTTACAGTAAATGAATCACCAAACCATAACAGCATAACATCAACAAGATGGATGCATTTATAACTTTAAACATTCACTTTATACTATTGGAGCAAAAGGCAGAGCCTGTAGCAATGCTCTCCGACACACTGAACAGACCGGTGGCTCTTTGCTCACAGAGTTTCAGCATTTTAGAAAGGTAATCAAGTCTCTTATAACAATGGAAACCTGCTCTTATAAAGTAATCAGAAGTTTGTGTATTTGTATATTTTTTAACTTTCAAACTGGTCCAATGTCAGAGCAATATATTCAAAACAATACAAGGACAGCTTTGATTATATTTGGGCATACTGGTATCTGAATGAAAATCAAACATTTCTGGCCACATTTAATGTAATGCTCTGAGATTAGTTTTCCTAATTATAAATATTTAAATGTATTACCATAGATGGTAGTCAAGATACCAAGTGCAAATTTATGGTTCTGATTATACAGCAAGGTGACCACTCTTATTGTGGATTAGGAAAGGGGGTTTCAAGAAGCAAACTATTACTGTCTGGGATTAGTGAGTCATTCGTATCTGGTTTTCTATTCATACTGCAGATTATTTGATAGAGTAGCTAAGTCACTGAAATATTTAAATGCTAAAGAGAAAACAATAAAGTGTGATTTACTTACCGCATTTCTGGGGTTGTGATCTCAGCAGCCAGTGAATCTGATCCTTCACTGCCCCCTAGTGGGAACAAACCTGGCCAAAAATAGAACAGTAGTTAATGTTGTTTTCCCAAACCTAGAATAATAGATCTTGTTTTTGTCAAAAAAAAATCCAAGTTAAGTTAGTTCATCTTTACTTGATGTCAGCTGTCCCTCTTGAGCCTGGACACAGTGTAGTTCCTCAATGGTTTCCTTCAGCGAATCTCTCTCTGTTCTCATGCGCTGTTAAGGGACAGAGTTAAAATATGTGTGAAAAGAAGTTACAATAATGCAACAACTAGAATTACTCGGAAGGAATTTGATTTGCACATAAGTCAAAACAATCTGCATACATCTTTTTCTTTTTGTAGAGAGTCCACTTTCTCTTTGAGGCGTTTGTACTCAAACTCCATCTTGTCTGCCTTTTTGGACTCTTCTGAAAGCCTGTTCTGAAGTTCAACAACCTGAGCATAGATGAGAAGATGCATTCACGTTGATTTGTGGAAGCAGGGTGACTACGAAAAAAAGAAATTTAACTACACCGTTGTTTTAAAACCTCTCCTGGTCAGGTACCTGTCTCTTATAGCTCTCCAGCTGACCCTTAGTAGCATTAGCCTTTCGAAGCTCTTCCTCCAAGCTGACATTAGTCTGCATCAATCCGGTGTTCTTCTCCTCTTGAAGCTTAATCTGGAACGCAAAGAGAAAAAGCAGGCTAATTTGAAATAGCCGTCTTGAAGGTAACTTTTTAGGCTAAAAATAGGTGACATCAGGCCCCATCATAAAATGTTTAATCGCTTGCCAATGTGTAACTGTACCTGTCTCCTTAGCAGCCCCATGTCCTCCAGTTTTTTCTTGTAGTGCTCCACCATTCCCTCTAATTTGGATACTTTGTCAGATGAGTGTCTAAGAAGGTGGAAAGATATGAGGTAATAAGTTGTGATGTTCAACTGCCACAAAGTATTTACATTACTTGAACCTTCCTATTTCACGTTACAACTACAAACCTTAATATTTTTATTAGGATTTCATGTCAGACCAGCCCAATGCAGGGTATAGTAATGAATCGAAAATAATATTGATTTTATTTTTACATTTTACAAGTAAACAAAGTTTATGACAAAAAAGTTGAATTCTATTCTTAACCTACTCTTTTGGGATGCTGTTATCAGGGCAGGCTTTTAGCTAGCAATGCGTACCGCTGAACATTGTACAGCCTTTACTAAAAAAATGACAAATTGTGCGCTCTGTTTTTCCCTTGGAAACCTGTGTACTGGCATTAAAAAAATGGAAGCAGTAGGCACTTTTTTGATGGTGTGCTGTGTGAACACAACAGTGCACTTTATTATTGTTTGAATTAACCTATGAAACATAATATTGAACCGAAACATGATCGTTATGAAATTTCCACCTCTAGGCAAGTAGACATATTTCCCATAATAAGTAGGGAGGATGGAAACCTTTTTGTTTCACTTCTACAATTAGGATCTATGTTTTGGTCTTTTACAAATCATAACAAAATACAGTATATTGGGTTTTAAGTTGTGATGATTGCACTTTCACTTTTAGTGCAGTTATATTTATTACAATCTTACCTGAGGACATCCATCTCATCTTTGAGAGACTGGGCTTCATCGGCCAAAGCTGTGAGTTCTTCATTCTGGGACTTTACATCTAGGAGCTCTTTCTCAAGCTCCTCACAGCGGATCCGGTAGTCGTCTTTCGCTGCCTCCAGCCTGAGAGAATATGTTAAAGTTAATACTTACCCTCAATCAATTCAACTGCTAGTAGTGTGTGTGTGTGTGTGTGTGTGTGTTGCTAGAGTTTACCTGAAAGATTCTTCTTGTAGCTGCTCCAACTGTGACTGCAGTTGGAGATGTTTTCGTCCAGCAGGACTGTTTACGTCTTCAATAGAGTCAGACTGATGAAGTCTCTCCATCATAAGCTGGTTTTCTGCCAACAGACTGCTCTTCTCTTCTTGCAGAGCAGCTACCTGAGACGGTGAACATGTTGATGAAGCAGCGGGAAAAACAGGACGTATGAAATACAGGAGAAAGAAAGCAGGGAATTCAGTGAGGTGAGGTTCAAGCTTGGCCTTTTAAAGATAAATAAAATGTAAACATTTCATGGCATTTAGTTAATTAGGCTCACAATCACTGCAGTATTAGGATTCTATGTCGTCAAGTACACGTCAAACACACATCAATGAGGCAAATAAACAGATTCAAAGACAGTGGGAGGGAAGTACATGGGTTCATGTTTTCTTGTCAGTTTGATAGTCGAGGAATCAAACTCCAAACGAAGCGAAGCAGAAGCTGGTTCTCATCCTTTTCAAACAGCAAAAGGAAACAATGACTGAAACAAAAGCAATATATCGCCTTGCATTTTTATTTTTTCTGTCAAATTATCCATCATGTTTTTATTTACCTGATTTTTTTTACTTTGCCAGGTTCAAATCAATTGATGTTTATAAAAATATAAATTGAACACAATGCTCATCAAAAATACTAAGAAAGCATGATTGATGTTCTTTAAACCATCCATCATTTTTAAATAACTTCGTATGAGTGTTAAATTTTAAATAACCAGCCTACAATATCTTGATGTTTTCATAAAACTAACACCTTTGGCATGTTCATGACTCAACACAATAACATGGCATATTTTCAAAAAGAGAAATAGTTTCAGAAGGTTAGTAAAAAAAAAATTAAACCCAGTTTAATTTTACATAGTTTAATCGTTCCATTTTTAAATGATTTTGATATGAAGGCTAGGAAGACAGTTTTTCAGAAAATTTCAACATAATTAATTGTTTGATTAAAAAAAAGTTTTAAACAGGGACATTTTGATTCATTGGCCTGGTTCACTCTACAACCTAAGCCAGGTCTTAAAGACTTACCAAACAAACATATCTAAGATGTAACTTCATACAATAGAATTATTTGAACTAGGCTAAGAAAGGAAAATGCTTGAAGAGTTATTCAGTGATTAAAAAACAGCTGGAAGTTCTGGATGATATATTTGGCTGATATTAGTTTTTTTTTTTTTTTTCTTTTATTGGCATTTACATTTTGGCATGATATTTGCATGTGTTCGCCAATCAAGTCTTGAAATCATGTGAAGTGTTTGCATTGTGCTTCTCCCTCTGCTATTCACTGTTAATGTTTTGTGTAATTTGTCAATACATGGGTATTTTTTGTTCAAACTTAGATTTCTGGGAGGGAAATCAATGAAAAGCAATAGCTATTTTAAGAATAGACTCAAAACTATAAGCAATTAGACTGATATCAAAATAATCAACAGCCTTAAAAACAAAAACAAAACCGTCAATGGATCCATTTCAATTAGGAGCTATAATTTGAATCCTTCAGATCAAGCCAGAGTCACATGACCAAACAAATACCACATGATCAATCTCCTCCTCTCTACCTGCTGAAACAAAAACAGCAACTACACAGAAACTATTTTTCGGATGCTAATATTGGCCCAGCTTAACTTAATAAACTGCTATGCATAAAAATGACCAACATTGGCTGATAGAGATATTGTCGATACATCACACATCCATAAAGATTGCATCCCCTATATTGACCTAGAATCATGATGACTCTTACATTCAGAAATACGACGAATGTCTTCAAAATCAGTTAGAGGTTTTTGAATACTGTAACCCCTTCAAATTCTGATATAAATACAAAAAAAGATAAAAATGGTCAAGGCAAAAGAAATATGTTCCTGTAAATCCTTTTATCTTAAAGCAGATAATAAAAGAGTTTTCTAAGAATGTCCCACTTTTATTTTATTTCTGCCTCTCTCCTTTGCCATTTACTGTTGGTACTGGAAAGCATGAAAAACACGGAGGTGAGAGACGCCCAGGATTGTTAGTGCAGGACACCATCCGACACACTGAGACAAAACAGCAGCTGTAGCTGCAAAAAGCACCATGTGTAGATATGTGCACAGAAATTTGCGCACAAACACGTACATGTATGCACATGCTCACACGGTTTGGAGGAGGAAAATCTGGTGCAAGCAGGCTGAAAACAACGCAGGACTACTTGACACGGCACTCATTGTGGATGGAAGGAAGAGGCGAGAGAAAATGAAGTTTGCATTTACCCTCTCTTCTAGTTCATTTAAGTCTAACCTCAGTCTATCACGCTCCTCTTGGGCATGGAGGGCCTTTAAAACAAGCCACACAGTGTTGAAACAGAAAAGAAAGACATTGGAAACTACTTAGAGTCAGGGAAGAAGAAGTAACACTTAACTGTTAAATGTTTTATATAATGTTCTGTTCTTGAATGCTTTATTTATCTGTGTTATAATTCAAAACCTCTAAACTCTACTGATTTTTATTTTTTGCAAAGTCATGTCAGTGCTGCAATACGTATTATCGCCTTATACACTGTATTTAACAACCTAAACTATGGTGATGAAAGTGTATTATCATTGTGGCTGCATAAACTGACCTGTAAGTCAAGCTCACGACACCTCTGAGCGATCTCTTCCTTGGTTGCCAAAGCATCATTCAGCTCCTCAACCGTCTTCTTCAACTGAAAACAAGGAAAAGGCTCAAAGATTTGATAAAACTATATTTATGGTGTGATTCATTGCAAATTCAAAATCTGACACACAGTCCTTTCATACATTCTGTCAATAATATGTACTGTTGGAAACGAAAGGCTTAGTCAGAGGCATAAATCCATAGGAGTCCAAAAAGTCCAAAAGCAAAACTATAGATCATAACATTTACTTAGGGGTAAAATAAATAACACATTTTTGTACACAAATAATGAACTTATCTAGGAATCTAAATTTACCTTAGACTTTAAAGGTTTACATAGAGCATCAAGAAACTTTTTTTTATTTTTTTCACCATCCCTGTTTGAAGCCAAAAGCAGACATTTACATAAAATGGATAAAAGAGTCACTACATTGAATGTATTCTCTAAATGTCAGTCATATTTTTTATTAATGCTTCAAATTCAGGAGTTTCTATACTCTTAAAGGTGTATTGCAGTTTAAAAGTCAGAAATCTTTTCTTTTCAATATATGTTACCAATTAGCTGACATGTAAAAGAAGCTTTATCTCCTTTATTCACACTCCACAGGCTCAATAATCAAATAATAATTGCACTAGGGTGTAGGACGCTGCACATTTTGTCCACTGGACTACTTTGTTAAGTCTCTGCCGCCACTGATGTTTAGCAAAAGGACAAAGCCGACTTTTTCTGAAGATGGATCACAAAAGACCGGCCACATTTGCCACCTCAAACTGAATTACAGACTTAAACCTTTGTCCAGTGCAACAAAAAGAGGCAAATTGGAGTCTAATAAATGACAGAATAACATAATAAATAGTGGGACAGTTTTCAAGTCAGTTCAGATCTTTCTAGGAAATGAAAAGGGATCCACAGTTGGGAATTTTTATGCTAAAGGGGTAAGATGCTAAATTTAAAATAACCTCAATATTTTACTATCTTACCTCAGATGATATTACAGATTTAAACAAAAGACAGGCTGCAGCTCTTGCTCTCCTTTCCCATATGGTGCATAACACCTCTTACATTTAAAATAGTTCCCACAGGGAGCCAAGCTCTGCAAATATTCTGGAACCTGCACTATGCTCTTTTAAATTACTCAGCTTTTTTCATTGGTCTGTTTGTTTGTTTTTTTTTATCAATTCACTTCATAAGACTGTATCATTAAAAAAGGAAGAAAAATGTGTTTAAAAGAGGGTAATACTTCTTAGCAAACAGCTAATCTCATTACCACATAAGATTATCCCTGATTTATCTGGCCTCTAGGACATATAATCAATGTTGGTAATCCTAACTGAACTAAAATAGGAAAAGTTGTATACTATATAATGTCAAAATAGCTTTTAAACAACTTTTTTTTTCTTGCACAAACATACTACATATTCCCTGAGAATATATCTAATTATCAGAGTAGTAGATACAATTATAAAAGTGGAAATGTATAAACCTTACATACCTCTCTGTCCAGATCTACATACGAGTCATTTCCTCCTGGGGTGACTGCAGTCTCTTTACTCATAAGCTGCAGGTGAACAAAACAACCATTGATAGCTTATATTTAAAAACACAAAGCAGGGATGAGGTAAATGAATATAAACGATGTCTGACTGGAATTTGAACAAAGGCCTACCTCCTGGATGGCAGTCATGACGACATGCTGCACCGACTCCTCCATCACCATTATGGTCTGGATGTATTCTATACCAAGCAAAACAGCAAAATCAGTCAGACCTGTCTGCACAGAAACACAATCAACTGAAACTATAAGCATTATTGTCAGCTGGTTGAATAAGTACCTTGTTTCTGTTCGCAGTTAACGGCACAGCCCAGGATGAGTTGTAACATTCTCCCAAGTTCTGCAGCGTCAGAGTGCTCTCCTATCAAGTTGACATCTGGTAATGTGAAATCATTGATCTGTTGACCTAAGACCTGAAAAGAAAAACCATCAGTCTTTTGCCTAAAACAAAATCAGCCTAACCTTGCATTTTTCTACATTAAAACTTGATGGTTTTAGAAAAGTCTTACCTCCTGGTAGTAGTCCAGAATGCCTTTCAAGATTTTCTTTAAATTGCTGACCTGCATGAACAATTATATTTCTTTATCAAACATTTAAGGACACTGTAGCAGATGCTTATAGTCAATACAGTTATAAACATTACATTAGTTGTATGCTAAATAATTCCACTGGTTTACAATTGAGAATGTGCAATGCCTACCTTTAATCTCCAGTTGTCCCCGACCTCTGGCTTGATTCTGCTAATCCAAGCATCATTGAAATACGATATATCTCTATAAAGGTCAGAGGAAAAAAATGTTAGCATCTGACACAAACACCTTTATGAAGACACAAATGCCAAAAGAAAGATAAGCCTTATAATCTAGGTCTCTTAACAAGAGTCGAAAACAATGGGATTCATTCAGAGTTTAAAAACTTACATTTTCTGAAGGACTTGGGCCATTACTACACCCCCGGTCAAATCTTCTACCGTCTTGCACGGTGCTTCCACTCCGAATGTTTGGATCTGTGTAATGAACAGGCAAACAGAAACCAATGGTAAGGATGAAATGCTACCAAATCAAGAAATGTTACTGATTGCCACAGCAGAATTTGATCTATTTTACACACTTTTTTTTTATGTCAACTGAAAAAAAAGATCAAACCCAAATTTCTGTCAAAATACAATTAAGAGAATGTTATTGATACATAGATGTGTTTGTGTAAACAACCGTGTGTCTCTCTGCAGCATTTTTTGCTGCAGAGAGACACTTTAAATGCACTGAGAATTGATAGACTTTAACAAAGAAATTGGGTGCATTATGCACCAATTTCACAATACTGTGATTGCTGACAGGTCAATAATGTTACTGCAAATCCGCTTCAAGCATTTTCTGAATTTTGAGAAGAAATGTCAGCAGTATGCCACCAAGTATTAGGATCCTAGCAGCGGTAAGGAAACAGGTGGAAAATATCAGACCATTTAAAGCAGAGACCTGTTTTAGTGCCAAGAACAACAGGTTAGACCACATGTTGATTTGCCAGTGAAAACAGCTCTTAAAGCATGAAACTTCATGGGAATACAACCCAAGTACTTGCAATTCCTGCCTAATCCCATTTTGCCCGTCCCCTTTACTTACTTCCTCTGTTTTATCAGATCAATAAATTTCAGATCCTATTCCTATTTCCACATTACCTCACATGCAATGTCATCACTGTGTTTTACCCTCTGTGGTAGTTTTCTTCAGCTAGTAGGATCCAAGAAGAAAATATGCAGCTAAAACGGATATTATATTCTTCAGTCTAGATGCCAACAGCCAAAGCAGGAGGAAGCCTTTGAATCAGGAATGTTGTAATTCCTACATAAGGAAAACATAAAGCTGGAACTATTAGTTATGAGTCTTTTCTTTCCCATGCTTGGAAAAATAAGAAGCTCTGAAAAGAACATAGGATTTTGTATCTTCTTCATTCATTCCGTTTCTTCAGCTGTAGTATCTATTTTACATAATAAGCCCTCCCAGCTTATTGGCACGGATACAACTTTATATTCTTTAGCCCAAACTGAGCTGCATCTGTGTGCGTCATGAAGGAGATCAGCTAATTTTGTAGTAGGCAATGGAGGATTACATTCCATCAGACCTCTCTAAAGGTTTAAAGTAAGAAAGTCCCGATCCAATATAAGAAATTAGTACGATATTGGCAGACAATATTGGCCTTCTGTTCTCATCTGTAGAATTTTTCAGTGTAGCAAACACTGTGGCAAATATATTCAAAAATATCCCTGCTGCATTGAAATTCAGGCCGCCACGCCCAATTTTTTATGCGTATCTTTCCTCTGATTCAAACCTGGGGTGCTGTCAAGCTCATTTCCCCACAAACGCTAAAATTTATAGAAAAATACACTGAAATTAGACATTACACCAACATGTTGACTTGTAATGGTATAGTGGCCTCTGAAACTGTGTTTTAGACACATTTACCTCTTTATCTGCACATATAAGAAAAGCACTATGAAAAAATTAACCCCAGACCAGTAATAGACCAGTATAACTCGCCCTCCATCACAGTCTTCAGCAAATCTACCATGTTGTTAATGTAGATACATCAAAGTTAAACTCTTTTATCACGTTTAAATTATAAAAAATCTGATTTAAAAAGTACTAACTGCAAAGACTATAGAGTTTTAGTTGCATTTCAGTGAAATGGCTTTAAAATAGAGGCGTCCGGATGTGCAAACATGGGAGTTCTTTTTCTTCTTCTAGATTGATGACTCCGACCAGCGGCATCTCACGGCGGTGAGTCCGACGTGTGGTTTTTGGACATACAGTGTGAGCAGTTAGATCGCATTAGAGCGTCATAAGAATATGCATTATGAGCTGTGAACTTTTAAACCCTGCGGTTTTGACGCACATTCTGAGCTGTAGCTGAGTACGATTGAAATTTCGGTTTAGGTGTATCTGATCTTCCCTAATGGTTACTTGCTGAATTCATGTTTGAGGTGCTATAAGGATATATAGTATTGCTGATTGAGAAGACTGTTAAATAGTGTGACGAGTCATAGCAAAACAATATACACTTCAATAATCATTCTGCGGTGAGACCTAAAGCAGTTGAGTAAAACTGGGCGCCTGAAAAAACAAAATGCTGTGATAGATCCTGGTCACAATTGGTCAACACAATTTCCTTTGGCAGGAAACATGAAGGAAAGAAAATGTAGAATGAACCAGCACTTAAAACACAGATAGCAAGAAGGAAACAAAGGTTATAAAACATTCGGCTATAGGAGATAACCTTATAATCTTTGACAACCGATCCGTCTGTGACATATAAAAAAGTGAGGGAGATCTGCTGTTGCAGGACCGAGCATGTTCATAGCTACCGTATTTTCACGACTATAAGGCGCACTTAAACGTCTTTTTTTTCCCCTCAAAATGTGCGGTGCGCCCTTTGGTGCGGTGCGCCCTATGTGTGTTGTAACTGCGACTTTTGAGACCACCTCATTGAGGAGATGATGAAAGAGTGGCTGAATGTAAGGAGACCAGGTGTTTTTTTTTCCACTCATCACCATCGCTGTTAATATGTGACTCCATGCGTGCCCATCTCACAGCTGATGTGAAAAACATGGGGAAACAAATTAACGCTGTGCTCGCTGTTCAACCGCTCGACATCGGTGTGAACCGGACCCAGCAGGTGCAGCAGAAGCAGCGAGTTTACATGCAAAGTCAATGGTTGACGCGCGTATAGGTGCAGCAAAAGGTCCCGCAGCCTTTAAGCATCTGACGCACCGCCAACGCGCTGCTGCTGCTCGAGATGGAAAAATTTAAGTTTTGCTGCTGGACGCGCCGCATCAACCAATCAGAGAAGCTGATCTGGGAGCTGACAGCGAGACAGACACATCGCTCTGATGACATATGATATTAACGCAAAGAAAAGGGCTGGATGAATGAGGAGATGATGAAAGCATGGCTGAGGCAGGTGTATGTGAGGAGAACAGGTGTTTTTTTCCACGCATCACCATCGCAGTTAATCTGTGACTCCATGCGTGCCCATCTCACAGCTGATGAGAAAAACATGGTGAATCAAATGAACGCTGTGCTCGCCATTATCCCGGGAGGTCTGACAAAGGAACTTCAACCGCTCGACATCGGTGTGAAGCGGCCGTTCAAAGTAAGGCTGCGAGTGGCGTGGGAGCGATGGATGACAGACGGAGACCACAGTTTCAGGATAAGTGGAAGGCAGCGCCGGGCAAGTTACGCCACCGTTTGCGGATGGATTGTAGATGGACTAACGTGTCTGCTGGCTCTGTTGTTCAAGCTTTTGCAAAAGCCGGCATTATTTCTGAGGAGCTGCGCTGCACGGAAAGTGACTCTGACAGCGCAGATGGGAAACTGGCATGTCTGATTTAGCGCAGCTGTTTAATTCACAAACAGAGGATGATGACTTTGATGGGTTTGATTACTACTCTGTAATAAATACATTAATAAAGCACAATCATACTCAGTTTTGCTCCCGCTCTATTTTTCTACCTGAACACTTAATTCAACAGCAGCCTGTGGGCGGGTCTCCTCCTCTTCAGCGCGGTGGCTGGCAGGTGTTTTTTCATCTAAATAATCTAAATCTTGCAGCTATATTTGCTGTGATCAGTGGGAATAAAGTAGTTTTAATATGTTTTTAAGTGAGAAAGGCCACCTGAAAACTTCATAATTGCAGTCAGTTCATCCAGATTATCTATTTCTGTCGCAGGCGCTCAGACCCCCACATACCAGCGGTGCACCGACAGCAGAAATCCCTTCATCAGCAGCCTCTAGGCCGGGTAGCCTCCAGGTTCACCGCGGTGGCTGGCAGGTGTTTTTCATCTAAATAATTTTAGCTGCAGGCACCAGGATACCGGTAATAAAAGTGAACAAATTCCGTCGGCAGGTTTCAGGATTTTAAGTTAATTTAGGAGTGATCACAGCGCTGTGTCATCTGCGATGTGTCTGTCTCATGGCCAGCACCCAGGTTTGATTAATAGTTTGTAATAAATACATGAATAAAGCACAGTCATACTCAGTTTTGCCCCCGCTGTATTTTTAAATACGCAGTAGAGGTATTTAAAGGTAGTAGAGGACATGTACCTGTATATAAAAAAAGCGCCCTATAGTCCGGTGCGCCTTATGTGTGTGTTAAATACAGAAATGGGACACATAACTGAGAGTGCGCCTTTTAGTACGGTGCGCCTTATGGTCGTGAAAATACGGTACATCAGGCCCAAAACAAAACAAATTCAATTTTTTTCCTGTTTAAGGCTCACACTGTTGTACAAAAAAAAAAAATAATTAATAATAATTAGTGTTGCTTCGCATTCATGATTCCAATTTCCATTTACAAAACATTTATGTGACCAGATAGCGGAGGTGATAGATGCCAGGTACAATGCCAGTAGAAAAAAGGAAGCAGGCAGAGCAAGGCAGCTGGTACGATTTACATTATATATCTTCAAATTTCATTTTTTTTTCTTTTTTTGTCCATGCAATAAGTAAGGATCTGCAGTTGATTTAAAAATGCTGCATAAAAGGTAAAATGTGCAAACCAGCTACTTCCACCTTATTGAAATGAGCAGATTTCCTGTGATACTGGCAGTTTGAAAGTGGCTGTGAAAATAAGATTATGTTCAAAGCCATGTACCTAAAAGTAATAAAGACAACAAGTGTTTAACTAACATTTATAAAACTATTATGTAAAGTGCACTTCACATAGGTAGCCTCTTTCAAAGCACTACAAAGAAAATTTTAAAATTAAATGTTACAAAAAAAATAAAAAGTTAAAGACAAGAAAGTTGTCTTTGCCTGCTGGTCTACTCTTTACTCTTTGTGAAATAAACACAATATTAGATTTTAGAAGGAAAATAAGTTCATCATATTGTATGCCACTATACTTCATGCTGAAATGCAGGTTTAACTTGGGCTCATAAATTCAGAAGTAATCTTTTTCTTTAAACTAATTCTTAAAAGGCTCCAACTTAGGTATTTAGTTGTAATTCCGTTT